GAGAGAGAGAGAGAGAGCTGGTTCTTCTCTGTTTTCAGCTTCCCTTAATTCCGTGCAGTCGTTCAGGCAGAAGTTTCCGTTGCATCAGCAGCCTGTGCCAGCCAATTCGACAATCCCGCCTTTTGGCCTGCTAACGGGTTCTGTTGTCTTTTCGGGAGTGCACACTGCACTGTTGTTTATTCCTTTTCCAGATGCGACACGCAAATGAGGGATGGGACGCTGAAGACATCGCGCATCAGCTACGCGAAAAATATCCGTAAGCCGTTTGCTAATTTACTTCTTTGTATACGTGATTGGAGGCATAGCTGAGCAAGGGCCTAGGCTCATCGGTTTGGCAGAAAGCAAAACAATTCGCTTCGATCGGTCGGTTTTTGGTTGGAGCAGCTGCCGGGCCGTTGTTTGTTGCTCAGCTGCTTTCTGGGACATTGCCTGGTGGCCAGCGTGCTGGTGATACTAACAGTTTCAAGCAGCTGATCTTTCGCAGCACAGCAGTCTCTGACATGCATCACTTCTGATAACAATAATTCAAATGGATGGGTATCATTATGGACTGAGAAGGCATTAAGCACTGTGGAAAAGAAAGAAGGAACAGTTGTGCTTGAAAATTTCCTCTCACTGAGTTTTTATTTTTTTGAAAATTAGCTTTATTTATTCCCTTTGCATTTTTTCGGGAAGTATTTTCGGATTGTTTCAGTGAGTATTCACGGAAGAAATTTCGGGATTTTGTGAGAACAGTGGAAATTGGCTTACAGCGATTGGATGTACGTGTTGCGGATGGTGGTTTAATCGATCTAACAGAACAGCCAAATGGCATGCCATCGAAGCAGAGAAAAAGGAAGCTGATGTTAGCAGTTGCTCGATAAATTTATCGCAAAAGATTACAGTGCCCTTTCATGACGTTCTTAGTTTAACTACTGCATTTTTCGAGAAACGTTATCTCTGATGAAACCAGAAGAGTTTGCACTGGCTGTGATGAAGGGAGCGGTGGGTAGGGAAGGGGGCAGATTCTTCGTCGGATCGACGTTGTGCGATGATGCTGTAGACAA